TTCACAATTTCCAAAAATAGGAATTTCGAGAGTTTCAAACTTCAAATCTCGAAAATCGAGAATCTCGAAAACTGGCAAACTATCAAGAAAACTTGATCGGCAAAGAGGTGGAACCATATACAAAGTGTCTCATTTTAAATGATCCTCGAAAATATTTAAAAAAATATGAAAGATACGGAAAAACGTTTCAAACCAAAGTTGTTTGGTTCGAAGGGTGACTGATTGCTCCCTCTACAGTTCTTTCCTCCGTGGCAGAAACTTCCAAAAAAATTTTAGTAACTTACTAGCAAATCTTAGTAATTTACTAAACTCCGTAGTAATTTACTGAAATGCTGTTGTTATTTACTGCCCATGAAAAGTCAGTTCATCTTGGTTAACCTCAAAGGAGCGTCGCATAATTGCACGAGCGAAAACGCTGCTGTTGTCAAATTAAAATATATCGACGCGTCTGTACAAAAATCTAGCGAGCTGGAGCTGCCTTGGTCATCTATTTCTCCGTCTCTTTTTCCTCAAGTACGCTCATTTTATTTTAACAGCAAGAAGTATTACGTTTCTATGCCGCAGCTGCAGACTCTGAGCAATTACATTCGGGTTCGAAATTTCTTTCAACATCACCGTTGACGCTGTGTGCAAATCGCTGCGGCACGTCTCGCGACAATAAGGTACTCACAGTCAGAAGTGTTAAGACTCTCGAGCGTGGCGTACATAATTTACAAAACCTTGTTTTTATCTCTTACAGCTGAGCGAGTGCTCGCCGAGGTGTCTAAGCTGTGATAAACTTGGGCAAGGCACAAGTCATGAAGGAGCTGTTGAATCAGGCTTCTGTGGGTTACAGCAGCTCGTTCGTCAACAATAACAACAATGATGCAGGCACCAGCAGTATCGTGGGTGACAACAGTTCGAGGAAGTATGCCATGCTCAGCACCGATTGGATCTCTACCATCGGCGAGGAACTGGGCATACCAGCTCCGTTGCCAGCCCCTCTTCTCAAGAGATTAGCAGAGGATGCCTCTTATCGCCTGAGAGAAGTTCTACATGTAAATTCAACAAGATTCCTACTTAATATGTAACTCTCTATTCAGACACAAGACTTTTGAAGGGTTGATAGAGCGATATAGCGCTGCACATTGTATAAAATTGCTTGTTCTACCCCAGAAATGCGTCACAAGATTGAGACACAGTAAAAGAAAACGCCTGACGTCTATGGATGTAAATACAGTAATCACCAGCCTGTGTGACGCCGATCCGGTCTTCGGTGCATCGGAATCCATGCCGGAGTATCATACGGAAGCGAAGGTGTATGTACCTAGCGAATCTGTCGTCAGTCTCGCCAGTCAGTTGAACGATCCGTTGAACCTGACGCAAACCAACGTGCCATTTCTGCAAGGCAAGTTTTGTAAGAGTCGACGCATTTTTATGATTTATCAGTCTTGTAATTTATATGGGCTCGATAATCTTAACTTGAAATTACTTTGATACAATGCTTCTTTGCTTTTTAAATAGAAACTGAGATATGTGACAGCAGGCTTGTGGAAATGCGTCACAGTTATGTCAAGCGTGTGTTGAAAACCTTACTTAATGGCTCACAGAAGACCTTTCAGGTACAGAGAGAAATACATGTGAAATCCTTTTGATATTATCAAATAAGCGCAACATATTTTTATGTATATCGCCAGGTTTTGCTCAACGACTGTGCTACCAATGTGCATTTATGCGACGAGGGAGTCGTCGACAAGTTGATGTCTATCGCCAGGTCTGTGGTGATCTCAAATAATGCACATTATACACGTGTCTCCACACGGACGTGTCAACTCATAATTGCCATTGCTAGTAACAGCAAAGCCATCTATCCCTATCATTTAGTTTCGGTAAGCAAGTATTATTCTCAAAGGCGAATGTAGTTTTATGCATCTTGTAAATATCTTCAATCTTTTCGTTTACTCAAAGGTCGATAAATTGACGGAGTTATTGCTGGAATTGCTGCTGGGCAAGAGCTTCATACATCCGAATTTAGAGGTGCTTTTTAAAGAGTGCGTGCTCAAATTGATGCTCCGCTGGCCGTCGGTTGCCGACAAGTAATGTGAAAATTGCTGAAAAAGTTTTGTACTCGTTTTCCAAACACTTGTGCGAAAACCTAATTCCTTGAATATTTATTAAACCAGGTATATACCAACGTTGGAGAGCGTGCTTATAAAGAGCGAAACAGGAAACGTTGCTTTCTACAAGAAAAAGATAATGGCGGTGGAATTGTTAGTGTGTATTCAGCCTATCTTACTTTTCCAACACGAAACCACACACATGCTTTCGATGCAGAATGTTTTACATTATTACGCTTCGCCTGGTTCAATTATCTGGCAGTTAATAGCTGTTAGTATGCCGATATTATATTGTTATAATCCCCCTGTGTGGAATGTTGCTCCTGATGTTGATTCTCTTGAAATTGTTACAGCGAGCCGTTTGTGCCCTCGCGAGATCGCAGAATAGTTCTCTGAACTTCGCCCCTTTGACCGAACATTACGGAGACTCGTTATTACCTTATTTACCCGCTAATCGCGATGCTAATACGAGAGAGAGAAGAAACACGAAAAGCACACTGCCTATTATCGTTACAAGCAAAATGAAATACGTTAAGGTCAGACCATTGCTTAACAACAGAATGCTGTGGGATCGACAAACGGCGTTTCCGGATTCTACGTTGAGAGGACCGAGACGCGAGATAAGGTGCGTATCAACGTTAATTTTTTCCAACACGAAACTGTGCACAAAATTAACGAGGCAATTTGCTACATAAATGCATAATATTCTTATTATATAAACATAATTACAGATTTGCGTTCGCTGGCGGTCGTCCGGTTCCACCAAATAACTTGAGACGTGTCAGCTTAAGAGCCGATTATCAAATTCTAAAGAGCGACTTTCAAGCCACTCTCGCTCAAGTCGCACCGCGCAGGTTACTTGTGATTAAAGATAAAAAGAAGAGTCCCTACAATTATTATAATTTGGCCGATGTTTGTCTGTAAATGATGCATAAAGATTAGACATGTAAACTTCACCCGGACATTTTAGCGTTACGTGTACAGCGAGTATATATCGTAAGTCATATTCGTTATGTGTTGTATTAATTATAGCTGCAGACCGTTTCTGTATTGATTAAAACTCAGAAAGGTTGTCATCTTCTCTTTCATGGAACTTCTTTCATTTTTATATGATTTTTAGATACCAATCTCTATTAGTATCTCGTTAATCTTTTCTTATTTTCTATAACGTGAATCCTCTCCACGACGAAAGAGGTTCCTGAAAGTTTCTATGTCAACCTTTTACCTTAAATGAAGATTTTTTACTTTGTAAATTATATAAAAATTATTTGTACGTATATTCAGTGCGGAGACAGTATGGAGGGGACGCTCCTAAATCTTACGAGTTACATTTGTGCAAGTCTTCTATTTTAGAGACAATCCTGTATACCCTGTGGCAGCTCCGGATGTATCATGTAATGCGAATTTCTTTCGCTTCTGCGACGAATAGATATTCCAATTGGTAGCTAAAAGAAAATAAAATACGTTTCTTAATTTTGTAATTTCTCTTCGTGGTCTTAATTTACGATAGTTTTACCTTTGCCGGACGACGTCGGCTCAAAACCCCACTTTTGTAAAATAGCGTGAAAGTCTCGTATTGTATGACGTACATATCTTCCGCCTAAATAAGAGTTTTTCGTGTATATAAACAGATAAAGTGTATTACATTATTAATGCTACTTGCCTCGTCATAACGATCAGCAGTCATCTCACTATTGCGTTTACGAAGCTTGTTATTATTTGAGGACTTGTGCGGTGCATCTTGTGATTGAGTTTCCTTACTGCAACTGGCATCATCTGATTGGTTGTAATTATGACTCTCTCGCAGCTGCTCAAGTAATGAGGGTTTAATATTTTCCGTATTTGTCGCTGCACTTATGCCATCCAACCAATGCAATATATACGCGGATTTTTTTATTAGTTTCGTCAGCAGATTTACACGTCTTTTAGACGCGCCACGTACATAGTCTTGTGTTGAATCTATTGGTAGAATGTTCTCATATTCCAACAGGGATCTTTCCAACGGGGACTGCTCGGATCGAGTGCTGACTGTACCGATCGTTTCAGCATTATTGGCCATATTGTCTTTTGTATCTTGCGGCTGACGTTTTTCCACAGAGGCGTTTGTTCCTGACATAGGCACGACATGTTCCGATTGGGATTTCTTAATCAACTCGTTTCGGATATTGGTGTTAACTGGTCCGATCGCAGGAATATCATCAGGTACATTCTCCTTTATACTTTGTTGTACATATTTCCCTGCGCGGGGATAATAAAATACTTTGAATTTCTTATAATTCATGACATGATAATTCATCTTCCGAAATAGAATCAAAATCTTTTCAAAAACCGTTAAGTAACTCGGTACATGCGTTTATTCTGTTTTCTCTTCGATTTTACAGTAACTTATCTTTCTGGACAAATCGAGTTTTTATCAAAGAGATACTTGCTGTACTTTAGCCAAAAGAATTCTATCTTTTTGACACATTCGGCGTGGTATCGTCTCCTAGCAGACTCCAGTCGCAGAAACATGGATTCTCTCAGGAAAATCAAACGTTTGCCGCAATGGACCGAGTTATCGGCGTCCATTGTTATGCGCAACGACTCCAGCATAGTCTTGCAAGCGGTGCGTAAATCGCAGGTCTCCGTGGAGGAGCAAATTCTCCTCCTGCTGTAGCGTTTGAAGAAATCCCTGTAGACAAAGTGGATCGGATATTTGCTCCTGGCCAGGGGTAAAGCCTCAAGAACACCCGTGTTAGCCAACTGCTTGTGAAGCCCGTCTCGGTCCCACTTGCCGTTAAGCCGCCTACGAGGAGCATTTTTTAAATCGCACAACAGTAAACTCAATTACACTACCATTAAATTACTATACTGTGGCTTGATGCAGCGAACGTAATGCGTGTCACATTTGTCCAACTCTTCTATCAGCAGATCCACGTTACATCGCAGTTTGGCGAGCATCGTAGGCTTCTTCGCCCTTCCGTCGTGATACGGTTTACGCATGTTGATTAAGGTGTACAGAAATTTGTTCTTGCTCACGCTGAACGTGACGGTTAGCTCGTCCGGAATCTGTGAATGCGTTAACTCGTGTAGGTCCGGTTTCACCAACGTTGTTTAACTTCAAGCTTAGCTTGATTCGTCCTTTGTCTCTTTCCAACAGTTGGAAAGAGGCAAACGTGAACTTAAACTAAGATTAAAATTAAGCAGCGTTCGGTGAAGCTGGCCCTTAGTGATGTATTTAAGGATCCTTTGGCATACTAAAGTATTGGGCCATTTTTCAGTCTTCAGCGAACTTCATTCTTTCTCGACGCGGAGTCTGATGGAAGGACGACACACCTTTTGCATCGTCTGCCGCTTACCTTGTCGGTATTCTTGGAGAGCAGATCGCGGATGGAGTATTTCACGGTCCCGTTGAAATGCCGCACAACGAAATTTTCATCCCTCACGTGCAAAACTCGCCTCGTTGCGGAACAACTCTTGGCGGACACTAGTTTTATTAACGTGAACAAGTTGTTCGGAACTGTCGATAGACATGTCTGCGGCGTAAAAATGTTCACCGTTAATTCCCCCGCGGTGACAGACAGAGGCGAGTCCTCTAGTTTGAGATATGCTCCTAATATGAGACAGCGGGGTTTCTGCTAAATTAATGGGCATCGTCTGTTGGCTCCACCGTGAATTTGTTGCCCTCGGAGTGAAATCTGTTTAGTGGAAAATTCATTAGTAGACCGTGCGTGTAATCATTGCGAAAAAAGATTTGTGGATTTTGGAAAAATCCTTTCATCACCTGCTATCTCATATTAGGAGCTTGTCTCATACTAACGGACTTTCCTCTATCGTTTAATATATTCCTAAGAAGCATTTACATCATTGAGTGTAGTGAACAAATAGTTCTCGAGCGTTCTTATGCGATCTGCGTACAATCTCTGCGCGATTTCTAGCGATTCCTCGTCGTCGATGAGGCCCTCCTTTTGCAGCTCGTCCCGGTAGGACACCAGATACTTTTTCACGAAGTACTGCTGCAATCTCTCGTTGACGTAATTAATGCAGAGTTGCTCGATGCCGTTTGAATTGAAGCACTCGAATCCGAAGATGTCCATCATTCCTGAAGCGCGAGAAGGTTGGTAAAAATCACACCTGTTCTCACGGGACAGCGGAAGGTCGCGACTTCCTCGTGAGAAACGCGCTACTTAACGCAAGGGAAACGTCTTTAATACCCAATCGTTCGCTGTACAGGCGGGCGGACAAGATCTCGTTCACGAAGTTGATCAGCCAGCAGAAGAGAAGGTCGTACAGGTGGCGGATGATGCTGTGCAATCGGTAGCGACAGGCGTCCGACGTCTTGAGATTACGTCGGCACGCGGAGTGTCGGCGCCGGGTGCTTTGAGGATTTATCAGCGTGGACGTGAGCAGCTCGGCGACGTCCTCTTCGTCGACGCAGGCCAGCCGGCACGTGTTCTCCAGGGCCTCTCTAGATTCTGAAAACCGCGTGACATCCGCCCAACACTCGCTCTTCCCCGTTCGCAGCTGCTTATCAACGGGGAGGAGCGTCCTCGCGCGATTTCCCAGATAGCACACGTAGTTCTATGAATATTCACATTCGAAAAAGATGTATAGTAGCGCCAGTCGAATGTTCCACGAACATAAGATAAATATATAAGAATGGAATATTTCAAATATTCCTGAAGAATGTTCTTAAAGTGTTCATAGGAGTGTCTTGTGCTATCTGGGTCCACACGTGGAATAATTAACGTGGGACAATTGTCAGCGATTACGTACGTTGATCGTCGGTGTCGATGCTGCAATGATCGTCCTCCTGCACGAACTGTATGTCACCCATGTGAAGGAGCAGGGAGAGAATGAGAAAGATGTCCTTCTTCTGAACCTCTGTAAAACCAAGCATATCCATCGTCGTCGTCGTCTCATGGAAATCGGCGCGTGACTCCTGCACTGTTCGCGGATCCAGGTCGCTCAGCATCGCGTATCGCCTGTCCGTCGACAACATCAAGTCCGCGAACTCCTCGCTCGCTGCCGCGGTCATCATCTGAAGTGCATTTCGCGAGCGCTTAGCACCGGTTGGCGAATCGCAACCATGCTTGAAGCACCCTCGGCTAGCCGAGGCCTCCCTCACCTGAGCGAAGATCTGAAAATTGCAGCCACCCCTCGTCACTCTGTCCCTTTCCAGGAGGTAGGAGGATATCGTCGCGCCGCAAATGCCGCCCATTTTGTACTCGAGCCACACGAGTTGCACGTGCCTCGAGGTGACTTGGTTCCTCACGGTGGTCGCGGTTGTGAAGGCTGATATTAGACGGCAGGCGTTCGAGATCCTCGGCAGGAAATTGCAGACCTCGCCTCGCCTCTCAAGGGTGTCGCGGGACACGCTTCTGGTCAGGAACTCCAGAGCCTTCCAGGCGTTGAAGGTCTTCCCCGTTCCGGTCTCTCCACTGAAGAGTATCACCTTTGCGAAGAACGCGGGGAAACGTCATTCGCAGACGTACTTGTACAGCGAGTACAGAGGGAAACGGAAGAAGTGAACAAAATCAAGCCGGTTGATTCGCTCAGATAGAACTGTATTCAATTCGAGTACACGATAGACTCGATACAACCGGCTGTTAAGGTCCTCCTCGGTTGGCGGTTTAGAACGAATCGCCTCGAGCTCGTATCGTCGTAACGAATCGAAGAGACAGGAAAAGACGATCTAGCGCAACGAAGAATAAAGATGAAACCTCTCGGATTTACCTGACTAGGTTTTCCGAGACCCTGAACAATCCTGTAGTGCGCTCGGGCAGCCACGGCGAATATGTGGGGCGGCACTTCCTTGAGGGTCACATCACATGCATTGCCGTATTCATGAGCTCGCGACAAATCGTAAAGGTTCTCGATGGAGAACTCGCCGTGGGGATTGACCGCCAGGAGAAAAGTGCCGAGCCACGTGTAAATCTGACCGCGTTCCAAACGCTCCAGGAGATAATCTACGGCTATTAGGAGCGTTTCCGGTTGACAGTGGTTGCATTTACGACGTTTTGCGTTAGAACATATACGTATGTTTATATATAGAAAATTTGCATACTCTTCTCTTGCGGCACGGCGCTCAGATCCCCCATCGCATCCGAAATGTAGGACCAACTGGGCTCCAGTGACATCACGTTGTCAGCCTCCGCGAAACGTCTGTGTTATCGAATATTGGGGCACGCATCTGTACGAATGTCTACATTGCCTTTATACATATAGAGTTGCTCTTAGAGCGTGACTCGTTATTGACACTCGTTAGTTTGACAATACAGGATTCAAGGTTTCTGACGTATTGAATTTATGGAAGAAAGAGAGAGTAGAGAATGTATGTATGCGCGCTAAAGTCGAAGCGACTTTAAAACAGTGAGGGAACTCGCAGTGAATCTCGCCAATTGATACGCAACATGACTTTTGCGAAAATAACAGCACGTCAATCGGTACTAGCGGCTGTCGAACGTTTGCGGAGAATAAACACGTAATCGTTGTGTTATGTATACTTTTTATTTGTCATAGCTTTTATACGATGCGACAAAATTGGCTTTGCAGCTTTCGAAATGTTTCGCAATTGCCACAGGCTCGCTCCCCCCCGGAGGTTGCAGCAGCCCAGGCGGACGATTAACATCAATGTCAATTTCATAATACCAATAAAATTGCTATTTAACTTATTCCATATCAGATCTCTTAATTTGTATCCGTTATTAATAGTAAGTGGATTTGAACTACTCGGTACATTTCTATAAATACTCGACTGCACTTTGCGATGATAATTCTGCGGAAAAGCTATTTCTCTATAATCTCCACATTTTGTTTCATTACATATTTCTTAAAAAATTAATGAGATTTCATATATTTATATTTATATGTATACTTCATCACTCTTTCTTCTTCACTCTCACTCTCTCATTTTCCCTCCATTCTTCTTTTCGCGTATAATCAACATATAAATTAAAAAATATGGACAAATAAATATACAACGATCATATAATATCTAGTTTCCCCTGGCATCCGTCGTTCTCCGGATAATATTTTCAGTGAAACGATTTGCCATAATACTGCAGAATGTTGTAAGAAATATATTAGAATATTATTAATTTATATGTACACTAGTACGGATACACGGCCAAACGCGTTATTTCTTATTTGCGAATATGTTTGGGCAGCACTGCCAGTCGGCGCGATTACGCGAAAGACAAGAGAGTCTAAATATCATATACGAAATTACTTATGATATCAAATACCAACTTACTAGCACCAAGCACACAATAAATTAAAACGACGTGTGGAATTTACAAGTACCCTGGCTTCACTAATTACGATGTGTAATACGTGCCGACCTGCCACGCGATGTACCCACAAACTGAAGCTTACATCCGTGCAACTCTCCCAAAGTTATCGAAACGTATATATCCTTGAACGATGAGGACAAACAAATCACAACATAAACGCTTTTTGTGACATTATTAAAAATGATCAATCGCGCCTAGTTTTGAATCACAGCGAGCTAGCTAGCCGTAAAGAGAAAAATTGTTCGGTAAACGCGTAGTAATAAATAATGTGTTTTTTAAATATCTCTGTCTCGAGAAAACAGATTTTTGTATGTACACAAGGATTACAGATGCCGAGACGTTACATTTTCGTCCAAAGAAAATATCGATTCTGAATTTTCTGAATCATTTTTTTCCGAAAATTTGGATCAATTTTCTCGACTGCAATTGTACATCACGCTTAAAATTAATTTTTTTGCATTTATATTTACAATACAATAAATTATATAGTATATTACAAAAATTGCACTTGCTCAATGCTCGCAATTAAGGTTTCATTCGAACTAAAAACGCATATAGGACTTCCGTTTCCGTCAAGATAAGATCGTGCGCAGGAAGCGCAGGTCCCAAAATCGATCGCCAGATAAAGCGCGATCGCGATTTACTCGTGCAGCTAATCCCTAATTTTGCACTTGAGATCACGTTTAAGTGAGGAAATTAAATTTTATCGTTAATCTTGATGAATAAGTATCCGTACCCGTTACGCGCGCGGGAGCGACTTACACGTCGCCTTAAATACCGATTTAGGAATCACTTCGTGTGACACTCTTCTCTGCACAACGTTACGTAAATACGGCGAACTGTATCAAGCGAGCGCGTAAACGACGCCGTTACGCTGTTAATGCGCGCAACGTGGACAAGTCGCGCAGAGAACTAATTACGAGCACAGACAGTAACGAGAGATCGTTTTACAGTGTTTTGGACGTCCGAATCGGTCGAAATCGCCTGGCAAAGATCGAATAATTGCACAGATTGCATTCCTTTTGATAATCCAATGATCGTTGCTAATGCAATTTATAATATAATTAAAATGATGGCAGACTCAATTTAGGCGTATCTGGATAAAAAGTTATGTCATTAAATGGTTTGTCCGTAAGGCTGCCTGATGAGTATACCTTACGTCGCATTCTGTACTTCGAGGATGCGGACGTCTGGAGAGAAAGGAATATAGTCGCTATATACGCAAAGAAGATTAATATAAACCGGCGTGTCGTTAAAGCCGCAGTTTCCTAGGTGTCGGAATGAGGGACTTGACCGTGTTTCCTTCTATCTTGGCGTCGCGTTGCTCCGCGTCGTTCAAGTCGCACAATTGTTTCACGCAGTCCTTCGGCTTGCTGAGGGAGCCGGACACGCACTCCGACGAGTGTCTCCTCGCGTGCACGTTGACACGACGTATCGGGGTCTGTTCCTGACGGAGTCTTAGCGTATGAGGTAAACGTTCGATTGGCTTGCGATGACTCCCGGTGGAGTTAAGCTCGGAGAGCAGTGATGGTCGCTGACGGTCCGACGAGTCACTCCAGCTGCAATCGACAAGTTGTCATTGTGAAAAGTAGATCGCGGAGACGGAGAACACGATGGAAGGTTCGAGGATTCCGAGTCGATCGAATAAAGAAAACTCAAGACTCACCGCACACGGCTGTTCAAGGCAGCGTGAAACATTACGGGTTATAAATCGAGTATCTTATCGCAAAGAATTGGGAATTGGGAAGGTGTAATCGTTACATTAACGTTGAAAAAACGAGAGACATTATTACAACATGCCAGGTACATTAGTTTTATAAATGTGAATGGCAGGCAAAGATCTACAATTCTTACGTTCGAATAGTCATGATCTCTAATTACTTTTACAATAAAAGATTAGGCTCCTCTCCATCTTTAGGCACTTTTGAAAATGTAATCACTCAATTATTTTCTGTTGCAAATAAAAAGGAAACATGATGAAGAATATTATAGATACGTAAACACGATGTTACAATTTCGTTTGATCTGCCAATGTTATAGTCATGGTTACCATTAGGAAACATAATGCGAGGATACAATAATATATGTACAATATACTAAATTTTGTACCGTAAAGTGATCATATTTGTTAAACTACTATAACAAAATGCAGGAACTTAAAATTAATTTGACAGGATTTGCCTCGGTCGGATTAGCCGGGAATTGCGAAGCAAATGAAAAGTCAGATTACTCGGTCTCATGCAAAATGTAAACGCAACTGTTAATAACGGATTGTCAGACAAGTGGCGCGAAAATAGAAGAGGTGCATGAATATGAGGACGTTAAATGCAGAGAGGAGTACATATCCCAATAGCAAGTCACATAGACTGACGCACTCTACCTTCCCGATCCTGAAGCTGCGTCGCATGGAATCACCCGAGCAAAGGGCGGGGCCAGAGCAGCAAAAAGAACATTATTATTTTGTGATGCGCGTGATAGAGAAAAATTTTAAAACGTGACTGTGTCAGTGGTACAAGCGCGATTTGCATAAATGTAACATTTTACGATCAATGGCGATTAGTAATTGTAAAGGCCTGTGTCCACGATGCTAGAACTTGGACACAAGCCTTAAAGGCCTGTGTGCACGATGCTAGAACTGAGACCAAGGCTTTAAGGAACAACGTATGTCGAATGAAGATTATATGAATATTAGAGAATAAGCGTGTGTACCAAAAGTTATTAAGAAAAGATAAATTCTCACCTAACGAGAGGCCCCATGACACCATCCTGCGGGAGTGACTGTAGGAGCGAAGGTCCCGCCGATACTGGACGTGTCTACAGCAATCAAACAATTTGCGTTTAATCGAGAGCGCGACGATAAGAAAACACTTAATAGCAGTGACGAATCACGAGACGCGATCGCGCGAAACAAGAACGGCTTATCGGTCGTATCAACGCAAGGAAATAGTCAAGACGACGGATCGAAATCACGTAAGGAAACCAATACCTTCTCTGTTTGCGTAGCGGCGTTGCAAGTGTCCGCGGAGGAGACGTTGTTGTTGCGCGTCGGCAGGGTACAGCCCTGAGTGTCGCCGTTCTTGGATCCTTGAAGCTTCGACATTTGCACCTGCAAGGATTAATACTCGATCAACGTTGGCGGAATTGGCTTCGCTCGACAACGACTACCGGTTAGATCTTCGTCGAAGCGAGCATACAGTTAGTCGTCAGTGGGATTTACCTCGTTATTTACCTCAAGTAGCTCGATGGTACGATCCCGCACTTGTATCGTACGATCTCGGTCCTCCACCTGGCCCTGAAGGAACACCACCTGCCTCCTTAGATCCGCCAGCTCGTCCGCGATGCTGCTACCACCGCTTCCCGGTGACGTGCTCACGTCGATCGTGTTACCTCCATCCTCGTTCAGGTTACAGAAGAGACCATTCTGCGACATCGACAACGTCATTTATAATTTAAGCGAACGTCACCGTCAATTGAGCAGGATTACAAAAAAAAGTTCGAGTTATTTTAGATCCACTTTTTTCCGAGCGAATCATTTTATAGGTCGCAACGTTCTATGCTCACCTTCGGATTATCGAATGGGTTGAGAGTTTCCGTCTAAAAATCGACATCAGACATTAGCGGCTTGTACATTTATCTTTATACCGTTGACGATAATTCACCGTCGGGACCGAGTAAAATGGTGCTACAGCGAGAGAATTAAGCCTACCTGTTGCAATTATAGCTTTCACGTACTTCTTTCTCGTAATTACAATTTTCGCATATCTCTCTCGGAATTGTAGCTTTCATGCGCATATAATTTTTACTCGATCCCATAGAGTGAAAATGTATAACATCATTAAAAAGCATGTAACATGTATGATATAATTAAATAAATACACTCACAGGCATGCAAAAATAACGTGATGTAAATTAGTGATAAATAAATGTGTAAAAAAGAAAATCAATGCAACGTACCCTCGTCAAATCGTTCTCTCCTGACTTGAGACGCAAAATCAGGAAGGACGACGACAAAAATGAAAAATAAAACAGATCGTGTTAATAAAAATGGGCAAGAACGTAAAACGCAACGTGTGCGCGAGTAACGGAATGACGCTTGCGGTTGAGTAACGTGTGCGGCTCGAGATAAACTCAAGTCGCCTCGGTGCCGCGCGTAAAGCGCGTGGAACACATTTACGGGGACGATCGCGAGAAGCGACGTGCAAAATTCTGGTAAAGCGAGATGCAAGCGTGCGCCGTGCGCCGTCGTACCTCCTGAAGGACCCGCTTGAGTTTCAGGAGCATAGTCTTTATGGAGACGATGTCCTGGAACATGTACTGATACGTGCCACGGTCTATCCTGAGGCTGGCCTCGTCTCCGGAATCGACGCACGAGGATGACACCTGCGATCAACAGTATACGATGTTAGTAAAGTATTCACTTTCGACAAATCGAGTTTAAGCGCATCCAGATAGCACAGAGAGCCCAAAAAGAATTCTCTTTGAGTTTCCAGATTATGAAATGAATTCCTTGTTGAATGAGAACCGAGACCGCCGTTTTTTTTTCAAGGCCTGCGTCCATGATCCTAGACCTTGGTCCAAGTTGGACCAACACAGGCCTTTAGGTCCAAGCGAGATCCCAGCGAGAAATGACTCGAATCGATCGACGAATCATCTCTCACTGAGATGTAGATAGCCTAATAGTTTAATTCAAATATGTGAATTCATATACCGTGGAATTCTTTCTCCACCTTATTTCTGTTATAAAAACACTTTTAAGACTTTAAAAAGAATTCGTTTTTATGTAATTTTGTGCTTTTCTTCAACTGTGCGCGTTGACGATAATTCGTGCTATTTGAGGATCGTGACTTACACTTCCCGACGTTCTCATAGGACTAGAAACTTGACGGTTGCGCATGTTGTCTAACGAACGCGGCGATTCCGTCCCCGATCTGCTGCGTAACAGCCTTGACATCCTGTCACTTCCGATTCTGAAACAAGACCAGCGAAATCCATGTATTCTCGCGCATTTAATCGCCGGAATTCACCTTGAATCGCATCGGTGAACTCTAGAACTTTCACGAGGGGGGGGGGGGGCAGAGTCGGTGCTCCAGCAACCATACCGAGATCCTAAAAGTGCTCCGCTAACCGGGCAGGGGTTCGACTCTTGAATTCATTCGAAGGAGAAACGTATGCGAAAATTCTACTCTCGCAGAAAAGTGGAAAGTCGATTGGTTAAAAAGCATGTGAGTAGCGAATCAGCTTGCAACTTTCTGTAAGAGCAGAATTTTCGCATACCCCTAGTAGCACAATACTGGCAACAATATTGGTCCAACATTGTAAGGTGGACGTCTTCTCTTATTTAGCCAATAGGTCTATTCAGCAATATCGGTCTAATACTAGTTACCGTCTGTTTCGTTAAATCATCGCGCCACATCGGCGAAATAAATTACATGTGGAAACTGGAATTAATGCACACACGTGCCATACATAAATAACAAACGGCGAGGGTATTCCGCGTAGTATGTAAGTGTAAGCCAGCGAGGTTCCAACCGGAAGTCGTCCGGTCTTCGCGCGCTATCGCAATTCTCATCGCAGTCACGCTATCCCAATAATGGAAAAAATAAAAAGAAAAGAAAACGAGCGTGCGGCACCTAATCGCCGCGCTCCCTCGCTATCCCGCGTCTCTCCTGCACCCGTAAATATCTGAAGGGAAGAGTCGCGCGCTCTTCCCGAAGGGAGAGCGAGAGGCACTACCTTCCGGGACTATTCTTGGCCCGCGAGGAGGCCGCGGCGGCGGAAGAGGAGGCGGCGGAGGCCGCGGCGCCGATGCCCGTGGAGGTGACGCGGCTGCTGCTCGGCGCCCTGGGCTGCCGCGGCGGCGGCGATCCGTTCGTGGGCGTCGAGCTCTCGGACGAGAGTCCGGAGTCGTCGCGCCCGTCCTCGGCGCCGTTCTCCAGGCCCGCGGGGACGCGGACGCGCGTCGGCAGGCCGGTGGTGCGCCTGCGGGCGCCCTTCGGGTTCTCCGTCGACGAGGAGGCCATCATTCTCGGCCGCGGCTCCGTCAACCGGGTCGTCGCTCGCCTCCCGGCGATCGCGCGCGGGTCATCGGCCGTCGACGGCGCGGCTCCCAAAGCCTTCGTCGGGCGCGGGGACGCCGTTCTCGGGAGCTCTCGACGCTGGCCCGGGCGGAGGAGGTAGTGGAGGAGGACTCGTCCGGTCTTCGCGCGGGATCGTCGGCGCGCGGCCGCGCTTATCCCGCGTGGCTAAACGTGACAGAGTCCGCCGGCGGGCTGGACCCGCGGGAACGCCGGACAATGTAAATAGAGGACGGTGGCACGGGCGGGCATATTTAGCCGCGGACGGGACGGAATGCGTCTCGCGGTTTCGCCGTCGACGAGCGGAAAGAGGGGAAAACGCGACGTGCTCTCCGCGGCGATGAGTAATTTCGCGGACACGCGGGGCTGCCGCGAAATTCACTTTCCCGAGACGCGCGCGCGCGCGCGTTTCGCAATCCTCGCGCGGGCCCCGAGCCGGCGCCCGCCGTTTTCACGCGCGCGCTGACAACGAGAGAAACGGAGACCCGGGCCCGACGTACGCGGAGACCCGGCCTCGGGAAGGAGAGGAGGATGGGGGGAAAAAAAAATAGAAATCCAGCGCGCGCGCGAGGGAATCGATCTAGATCGCCGCTCGGATAGCGGTAACGCAATATTTTGCGGGTTGACTAACGAGGACGTTCTTTTTTTTCTTCTCTTTTCGTTCCCCTCCCCGACGCAGTTATTTGCGCTGTAAATTATCGAACGCGGCCGTCGAGCGCGCCGGGAAATTACGCCGCGCGCCGTTTAATTGGTCCCGCGAAACGAGGATAATTTATATGATTTCGCGTCGCGTCTCTCCCCGCGTCCCCGACGTAAATCGCCCCGCCGTAATTCGCACGTTAGCGCGCCAGGTCTCCTCTTTCTTTCTCCTCCCCCCCCCCCGCTCTTCGTTTTAACATAACAATCCTGGAAGGAGTTGAGTCATCCCGGCGCGAGTGAAAGTTATCCTTGCCGAAATCTCTACCGGAGGCGCCCGCGAGTTTTCCGGGGCGTTTCGACGGGCCGAGCGATCGCCCGAGCGTATTATTTTCCCTCTACTTCTCGGAAGAGGCCCCGGTGAAACGTATACTGGGCCCTCGACAGGCTCGAGCGGCCGGGCGCGCGCGATTTTGACTCCAGGGAGAAACGGAGCCAAGTCGCGCTCGGCGCTTCCGCGCGCGGCGCAAATTTCGGCGTCCCCGAGGGAGCGAGCGAGTTTCCGTAACTCCGATTAATCGATTCACCCCGCGTCGCGGTTCGTATTTTACGCGGCTATTAATAAGTTGGCGGATCTTGTAAACGCCCACGGGTAAATGCAAAACGCCGGCGGTGCTGGTCGTCGCGCTATCGCGCGAACGGCAAGGTTTCACGTGACGGAGACGACGCGCCGGCGAGAGGCGATAAGGGCCAAGACGCACGGCTCGCGAACAAAGGAGGAGGAGGACTCGGAGTCGGAGTCGGGGCCGAGCGCTTCGCCTTCTGTGCACCTGGACTCGGCCTGAACTCGCCCCGTCACGCTACGGTCCCCTCGCATAATTCGCGGGCAGGCCGGGATCAAGGATTCGCGCTTCCCGCCGCGGGGTCCTCGGGCCTTCGGGCCGCGAAACGAGAGCTCCCGGGGGCCGTCCCACGATCTAGCGTATCACACACGCGCGTCGAGCACGTCGAGAGGATCCGTCCGGAGCGATCACTTCGCGCTGGGAGACCCGGTTCGTCGCGCGAGACGCGTCCGCTTACCGGGCGTCGCGTCTAGGAGCCTCGGACGGTCTCCACCTCGTAGAGGGACTCCCTCGCGACGACGCGACACGAGGAAAGTCCCCCGCGAGCGCGGGACACTCGGCGCCGTTCCGGAGGGCGGTCTTCGCGACGCCGGAGTGACCTGCGGCGGTCACCGGCGGGTAGACACAGAATCAGGATCGCGAAGGACACCCTCTCCGCGAGGGACGTACACTGGGAACGCGTGCGCACCTCGCACTACGTGCCGCGGTTCGATATCGTCGCTCGGTGGATGGCGAGAAGAGAGGAGAGAGAGAAGCCGGAGAGGTAGGGAAGAACGGTAGGGGGAACAGCTGCAGACAGCAGGGAGGAGGCGAGCGGCAGGGACGGTGGGGGTGATAACGCAAAAAGCTGCGGGAGCTATCGCGATACCGCGGAGTCAACGATACCGATCTACCACGACGGATATCTCGACACGGGTGCCTCGACTCCTCGACTCGCGGTCGACGGTTTTGCCGAGTTCTCTTTTTCGCTTCCCTGGACTTTGCGCTGATTAGTGCTCATCTACAGTAGGGATTGGAACCCTAAGCCTTAAGAAATGGATCAATCGCTGTCGAGAATTCTACTCGCACTTAATCGCGATTGGTCCATTTCTTAAGGCTTAGGCTTTGAATCATCTATTGTAGACTGGGACTTGTAATTTTTGCCCTCTCACTTTCCTTTCAGTCGAGATTTCGCAGCCAGGGTATCCCTGGGAATTCGACGCACATGCATACAGTCTACTGCGAGGGACGTTGCGTGAAAACGTTAACGCGACAAAGGAGGAGCGAATTATTAAGTTCATGCTATTCTCGCCCAATTCAATTAGCCGCGACGCGATTAATATTTTAACAATTGTCAGTCTTAATTAGACGGGCGAGCTATTAAAGTTGATACTAGCTGGGCCAACGATTCTACTCGAGGCAGTGAACAGCTTTTCAATGGGCGAACAGTTGATTTGTACACGGAGAGAATTTCCTCCTGAAATCTATTCTGAAAATCATGCAATCGTGGGACAACGTGGCATTTTGAAGAACTTCATGACAATTTTTTGAAACTTCGCCAATACATTTTGCTAGTAAGATGTTAAATGGTTCTTCAAAATGCCATGCTGCCCCACGATTGCACATTGAATCGATACTGTCCGACTAGGCCGCGTTTCCTTCTACATATCAAGTGATGCGACACGACCTGGCCAGACTCGCTGAAGCGGGGTTTCAATATCCCGGAGAGAGTCCTCTTCCTTGTCGGGAAAGGAATTTATGGATCAGCCCGACAATAAGAATCCGCTACGCGCGCGGCGTGGCAAACGATCAATACTCTTTCGGCCGGCCAACCCTTGGCCCTTAAAACCACGGATCACAGCCGTCCTTCACCCCCTCCCCTCGCTCTCGACCCCCGGTACGATTTTCCGCCGACTTGGCCCCGTCGGCGAGCACCCCGGGATTTATGAGACGGGGAGGTTTTCGTTGGCGACGGTAGCCACGCGCTTCCCGATCCTCTCAGCAGCCGAATCTATCGGAATCCCGCACCCTCAGGGAATTTCTCTTTCCCTTTCATCGAGCACTCACGAGTCTGCCCGCGTTTCGCAATAAACGCGGATAAAGAAGAATCGGTCTCGGAATGCCTTCACCTTTACGAAAAAATGACGAAACAATTATACTAGAAAATGACTGTGTATCAGTAATCGAATCATTAGACATTACTGATGCACAGTAACCTTCCAGTAATTATTTCGTTGCTTTTCCGTAAGGGCCAAGACGCTTTCAGCGCTACTAGACTACTATTATATTTGTTGTACGACAAATTTTTTAACGCCTTGAATTGGCTACAAGCTAGAAAATTTCTATCTTGCAGGCAATCAACAGACTTGAAAACATTTGTCGCGCGAGAAATGTAATACCAGCCTTAGGGCTTGAGCAGAGAGATCGTCGTAAAACTGTTCGTGATTCCGCGGTAAGACGTAAGTCAGTGTCGGAAGTCAGCGCACAAAGAATTGTCGTACGTCGCCTCGCGACGTAATGGATGCGACAATTCTGTAAGTCAGCGTTGGAAGTCAACGCACAAAGAATCGTCGCATCCATTGTGTCGCGAGGCGACGTACGACAACTCTTTGCGCGTTGACTTCGAATGTTTGGCGTTACCATTAATTAGGTAAT